CGTGTCTAACGCGTGAGAAAAAAAACGCACAGAAGGCTAGCAAAGGGAGATCCAATAGTTTTGGTTTCTGCAAGTGGAAGTTAAGAAAGAATTTATTCTCGCTCACTTTTTCTGTCACACGTTTTTTCGACTCCCCAGCACCAACAGCCGAATGTGAGAGTGACACTGATTGCCACGAGAGTGCTAGCTGTATAGACAAAAAATGCATTTGCAAAGGAAAAACTGCTGGAGGTGGCAGGGAGGATTGTCGAGGTGAGTATCTAATAATCTCTATTTATTGTCTCTTTTACGTTATGCAATGTAGTAAAATGGTACGTGTCACGCTCGCTGTGATTTGTCGTTGTCCATGATCGATTAGAGTACAGACTCACGGTGACGTCACGGGAACTTGTTTTCTTTGTTTTGTTTAAAGGATCGGATCGGATCGGTTTATCAACAATGAATTAAGAGAAAATGCGAAATGTGCAAACCGGCTAGGAAATTTGAGCCCTAAACTAGCAAAATTTATAAAGACATGTATACTACCAGTACTTGCCCCTGACATTTCTTTGTAAATTTGAGTTTTACAAATATAAACTATTCAGTTTTACTTATTAATTCAGTGTAACGAATATATCTGTGAAGGTATGCATGCTTTTGTTTTAAAAATTAAAAATTGCAATTTTAAAGTGACATTGGTAAAAATAAAGTCCATTAACAGGCGTCTCTCTTTCTCTCTCTCGATGTAAATGTGTGCGCAAAGGAAGGCAGGAAGGAGAAAATGGGCGATTTTATTTTTATGATGGTGGAATGTTTAAGGACAGACCGTGATTACGCCATTTTTAGAAATGAGTTAAGACTTGTTCATCATTTTGTGAATTTAGAACAAAAAACTGCATACGCCACTTGAACACCTCCCATAATGCTCCTTGTTTGGCCTCCAAAAATTTTTTTTTTTTTTTTTAATTATTTTCCTTTATTTTTTGCACAAGCACTACTACATCTACCTCCAAAATTTTGCATAAGCATTGTTTTCAATTTCTCTTGGGACGGCGGTAATACCCAGGAGAAATGAAAACTTGAAAAAATTTTTTTTTTTTTTTTTAATTATTTTCCTTTTTTTTTTGCAAAACACTTTATACATCTTCCCTCAAAATTTTGACGAAGAATTGTTTTCAATTTTCTGTGGGAGGGTGGTAAAGCCCGGGGAAAAGAAAAAAAAAGGGTTAGGCAATTTTTTTTTTTTTTGGGGGGGGGGTGAATAAGGTGCCTTATGGGAGATGTGCAAGTGGCGTATATCCACATCCTGTGTGTGGAGAGGAAGCTTTTCTCATCCAAAAAAGAAAACAGACTCCAGCATCATTACAGACTTGGTAGTCAACAAGTTCAATTCCTACCGAAATAGGAGCCCATAACTGACCGAAAACAGAAGCGGCTTCACTTTTCCTCTTTCTCCTTCCCTTGGTCCCTTGTGCTTCGTCGCCAGTCACTCGCGTTTCGCGTTCGCTTTTATTGGCGATTACCATGAGAAAAATCAAAGTGCCTGAGAGGGGGAAGAGGGTGGGGAAGGAGAGGGTGGAGGCAAGTATTTAGCCCGTGTGGACCTGGCATGGACTAATTTGGAACATGATCCTGGTATTGTTTTCATTACAGAGCTCCAGCCGTGCCCGAAAGGTAAAAACTACTGTGGCTTCAGTAAAGTTTGTTTGGTGGATCCTCTATTCCCTGACTTGTGTTCTGGTAAGTCTGTTGTACTTGATTCGCTAATTTTGGCAGGTTCGCCTCAACGGTATGACGCCCGTTACTGCGGGCCGTAACAGTTCCTTACCCCCATGAGAGATAGACCCCGCGGCTGGGGTCTACGTCCCCTGCTCTTTTTGAACAGCAGTTAATAAAAGTTCTTTTATGTCCCGTTCCAATTGATAAGAAAGGATGAAGGAGACATGGCCAACGGCTTAACATCACCGCCCAATGACGCGATAATCTGAACCGAAACAAGATCTTAAGTCACAGCCAGTATAATCTCACCGGTCGTTTAAGGCCCTTGTTATTGGTCTGGCCGGGGTGTTTGAGCCCACGTCCTCCTGCTCGGCAGACCAGCGCTCTCCCAACTGAGCTAACAGGGCGCTTCTGCATTAAAATTTTTTTATCTAAACGCATGTTACCAGCAATCTCAAGAGATAGATCATGAAGCTCTAACATCATGCGGAGTTTGACAATTCATAAAAATACTGATTTGTGTAGAGAAATATCCGTAATGTGAAAGTGTAATGGTTTCGTTGATCATTACATTTTTACCACGAGGTGAGCTTTAATTTAATGTCCCCTCAGATGAATTTGAAAATGATTTTTGTTTTGCTTTATTTTTTGTTTTTATTATTTTCATGACGCAAAATAATTATATCATCTTCCTATCGTAATCAGATTTCAAAGACAATTTGAGAAAGTATTTGTTCTTTGTGTATATGCGGATACGTAAATAGTCTTCTTCACTGTCGAGGTAATCTACATTATTTTTACAGTGACTCTGGATAGAGAACAACAATCAGTTTTTTTGATATTGTTGTGCAAATAAAAAGAGCAGTTTAAATAGTTACTCAGTACACGTTTTCAGAGTTACATATCTTTTGCAAAATTGTGATATTTTCAGCTTTGAGCGAGTGTGAAAGGCGTGGAGATTTTTGCCCTCGTGGAGCATCCTGCGAAAAAAGAAACGACGGTTCTTACAAATGTGTCTGTAAGAGTGGATTAAAGATGGCTGAAAGGCCAAGGGGACAAAACAGAAAATGTGAAGGTAACCCTAAAGCCGAAATTTAAACCCTGATCGCTTAGCAAGGTTAACTTAGCAGAGAATACCAAATCTCAGTTATATGAATAAAAGGAAATACCAACGACCAATTTATGAAACTTGAATAGTCACTTTTAAACCCAGCCGATCATTTAATTTCATATTAGGCTACAAAGAAGTCGTTTTCACACTCGGATTTTTGAGGCAAAACGCCCATTGTTACGCGAAGAAGTGCTATTCGAGTGGTAAACAACTTATCCCGGTCTTATTCCGCAAACATGGTCGCGTTTACATTTTGATGGCTCGTACAAAAACAAAGACTTGCCACAAAGCAGAAGGCAGAGCTGCCACAAATCCTTCATTAACCTCCCTTTCGAGGGGGGGGGGGGGGGG